GGAGGAGGAGGAGGAGGAGAATCTATTAAGGATTTCTGTCAAAGATTTTGAAATTGCACATTGGGGTCACAACTCCCAATTAGGCAGAAGAGTTGGGTTGACATGAAGTCATTCCCAGTAACTATTAACTGTTTTGCTTTCGATAAAAGAAAGCTATTTCCCTTGCCCACAAAGATGAAAAAGAAAAAAAAAATCCCTGGGCAAATGTACACGTATCCACACACACCTCAATTGCTTGTTTCATTCGTATCTCTTTAATTCTGAGAAGTTAGAAAGGAGATATTTAACCAGAGATCTGGATAAATGCCATCCAGCTTTAGTCTTTAATTTCTCCACTGCTTCCTGTTGGATGGTGTTGTAATATCACAAAAGGTGAAAAGCTATTTTCTCAAAGGTGAATAATCAAGGAGCACACACTATGGACAGAGACACACTTGCTATGTCAGAGAAAATTCATCCTAAGGGGTACTGGACAGTGGGATGTGTTATTTTTGTATGGATACTTGTCGAGAAACTCAGGGAGTTTGTCATATATCTGTTTGTCATATATCTGTTTTGGATCCTATAAAGTTGTGACAAATAGATTGCTTTGCAGGAAATAATTCCTGTTGTATCTATAGATCAATGCAAATGTATTTAAATGCCCATAGAGGAGTATAGCAATAGCCTTGGAAAAGGAATGTAAAGGTAGTTCCATAAACCCCAGCTTAGCCCTGAGAGGAAGGATGGGGAGAGAAATTCAAGATTGCCCTACCTTGATTCGCTTTGGCATAATTTGGGGGTGGGGGAGAGCGAGACTTAGTCTAACATTCTGATATTATCCCCTGCAACAATATAGTTCCACTAGTCCTTGAAGAGTGTTTTCTGACCTGCCCTGCCTTGAAATCTGACCATGTTCCTAGTTCCAAATCTGGTATCTTAGTGTAAATTATTGTGGTTTGAAGTCAGCCATCTTGGCAGTGTCACTGAGCATAGACATGTACTGCAGTGATCAAATCCTACTTTCTTATTTAGACTACAGTTGAATTCACCCAACATGTAGAAAAGCTGTGCAGTACTGGGGATTCACTTCCAAAAAAGATGGTTTTGAACAGGCAGGGGAACAAACATAGCACCTGCAATGCCTTAAAAAGCAGCTTTTTTTTCTATCCATGGCTGCAGAACAATTCCAGAAATATACATTTCATTGAAGGATTTGTAGAGAAGTACTATGTGCATACCCTCAGCTGTCCCAAAGACTTTCGGGAATTCAGTATCATACCGCATGGTCCAGTTGGTCAGTCAATCTGTGGTTCAGTGCATTGGGCAAACCAAGCCAGTGTTATGGTTTACAGTTCAGGGGGTTGGATGAACACCAGCGGTTAGGTTGAGTAAACCATAGGTAATGTGGTATAACTACAACGTACTCTACAAAGGTATGTAGGGTACAAATTAAAATTGTGATCAACTCCTCTTTCCCGAGGCTTGTAGCTGATCAAGCACTGCTCAAGAAAAAAAGTTTACTGTAGTGCATGCCAAAAGCATTTTTTTTAAAAAAATCCGTCTCTGCATTAGACCTATGGTAACCCTAAACTGTATTTAGATTTAGAAGGCAGTTTTGCAGTTTTAAAAGCTAAAACTGTAATATAAGTATTGCATGATAGTATACTGACCTGCAAGTTTGTTTCTGTAATAGCTTCAGCAGCCCCTTTAAGTTATAGTTCTGCCCTTGCAAGACTATTTTCTAAGATCTACTTCAGCACCCTTCATATAACTTCTGATTAACTCAGCATTTTATTTACTTATTAAATTTGTATGCCACCCACCTCCCAACGACTCTGCCAGATAGTATTTGAAATGAAGCTTTTCATAATCTTTCACTCATTTAACATCATCATGGTTTGTTATCAGCATTTTGTAAGTTATTTAAATTCTGCATTATAAGGACTTTGTAAAGACTTGGCCCTTGCTTGTTTGAAAACCCAATACAGTAGGCATGCAAATTTATGAAAAAAAATATTATACAGATTCCTACAGAAACATAATTTAGCTTTTATTTATTGAAATTCTTTAAACACTTTGTTACATCAAATCCAGGTCCCAAGTGGAAGCCAACCTTAAGGAACTTCAGTGTGAATAGGACAAGTTGGAAGGAAGGAAGGAAGGAAGGAAGGAAGGAAGGAAGGAAGGAAGGAAGGAAGGAAGGAAGGAAGGAAGGAAGGAAGGAAGGAAGGAAGGAAGGAAGGAAGGAAGGAAGGAAGGAAGGAAGGAAGGAAGGAAGGAAGGAAGGAAGGAAGGAAGGAAGGAAGGAAGGAAGGAAGGAAGGAAGGAAGGAAGGAAGGAAGGAAGGAAGGAAGGAAGGAAGGAAGGAAGGAAGGAAGAGCCTCTGGCCTGCCTAAATACTGGTACCTGTCTCCAGAAACTCATGAGTTGCCCATGAGCTTCTTAAAAAGCACTAAGGTCCCAAATGCTGCATGGAGAACTTGTTTCATCTTCCCCATAAGGTTAATTGTTGCAGCATGTAACAATGAACAAGGAGTTTAGTGATGATATCCCAGTGGTTCTGCCTGTCATAGGATATGCACCTAGTACCATAACATTAGTGTGCCCCCGTGAAATCAAAGTTCTACAGGCCTGTGGCTTTAAAGCAGCCATAGCGTTTTGCAGGGCAATAAAGCTGATACTCTAGTTTGGCCTGGAATTAGTTGGCAATTTCCCAAGAAGGAAAACATTCTGATGAGGGACAGCATTTCAGAAAGGTACATGTGTTTTTCTCATCACAACAACAATTGGACAGAAAAGGCTACAAGCATTAGTATCTAACCTGAAAGGGTCTTTGGGAAAGGGCATACTCTATTTTTTGCCCAGCTAATGTTGAAGGATAGCACTGGGTTGCTATACCAACAGTCTGGAAAACACTGATGAAAGACATTATATGATTGGTACCAAAAAACAGACTTAACATGCAAAGGACAGCCACTGCTCAAGGCTAAAGCTATAAGATTTATACCTTCCAGCTAAAACATTTTTCAAATCAAAACAAATTATTTTAACAGAATAAGATTACAGAAATCAAATGTACAGGCAAATTCAAGATACAGACCAGCTCCAAGATGTACACCAAAGCAACCCAGCTAGCATGAGATGGGTGAATCTATAGAAGAAAATACCCTGCCTGCAGGAAGAACACATCGCCTATCGGGTTTTGTTTTTTTTTTGGTGAACCTGAGTCGTGAGAGCAATAAATATAAAGAGTGTTAAAATGCAAGTCTCACAATGAAGTGGAAGGGACTTCATTTAGATTTGAGCCCATCATTGTAAAATATTATAGTCTCTAAAACCTTCCCAAGGGGTATGGCGTGAGAGTTCTGGCTAAGGAGGAGAATTACCTTTACTTCATTCACTGAATGCTAGAAACCCAGCCGTCACTGATAATTGTAAACAGCTAGGACTGACCTTCCTCCCTTTCCCTTCAAACAATCCCTTGCAAAAGGCATCTGCAGCTAAAGTCTTCATTTTTGGTTGGAAGTATTTTGCTGTCCCACCTTAATATATTTAATATACCTATACACAGGGAATTTTAATTAGGCACAATTCCAGGTTAAACGTTCAACAAGTCCTCATCGCTATCGTCATGGAAAGATGCAGTGTTCATGGAGTTCTGTAGATCTTCTTGAGCAAAAGCAGGGCTGGTTTTGCTATTCTTCCTTCCGTTAGGCAGACCAGTTTTACCACTGCTTGAAAGGCTATGAGCTTTGTTATGATAAGGCCTACTAGTGCTGCTCAAGCCCCTTGAATCAACATCTTTTGCTGAATGAATCTTCACCTCTGGTATTGTCAGTACTTCATCCTCACTGTCCATGTCATCCACCCGAAGGGACATAAGGGTATCTGACTTGACTGCTTTTCGTGTTATGTGGCCATTTATGTGTGCTTCATTTCCTGAACTGTGATTTGGCACAGCTACTTCTTCCATGAGCCATTCTGTTTCATTCTCATTTACTTCTTCAGTATTTATCTGTTAAGTCCAAGGACACACAAGTAGTGAATGATATTAAAAAACAAACAAACAAACAAAAACTTTCCATAACCATTTAGTTTACTGAAAACCAAGATACAGGTAGTCCCCAGTTTAAGAACGAGTTCCACTCCCAAGGTCTGTCCTTAACTTGAAATTGTACGTAAGCCAGAACAGTATTATACTGTATAAATAGTATTGTGTAATTAACTCAAACAATTGTGTATTTAACTCAAACCATTGTGTATTTAACTCAAAACATTATGTATTTAATTCAAATTTTGCTATAGTAGAATAGGCTCCATTCTTAACTATGGGTTGTCCTTAAACCAGGCGTTCTTAACCTTGGGACTACCTGTACATTTTATTTTATAGAAGAACTATAGCTCAGCAGGAGAATACATATTTTGCATGCAGAAAGTTGCAGGTTTAATTTTTTTAGAAGAGATAGAGAGAATCAGGAACAAACAATGGGAAAACCTTTGCCTGAAACCTTGGAAAGTGTCTGCTGGGATTATGTGGACCTGAGCAAAGAACAAAGAACCAACAGAAGAGAATATATGTAGCTCAGGGTTGAACTGTAGAGTTCTTGGGGTTCTCTGAGCATGGTTGTTTTCTTGCAGACGTTTCGTTACCCAGCTAGGTAACATTTTCAGTGCTAAAATGGGGTGGGGTTTGCTCTCTGTTTATGTACAGTAGCTTGCTCTGGCACTGTTCAAGGGGGTGTTGTTTTTTCTTGGTAGTTCCTAGATTAGGCTGTTGTCTACTGCTTGATTGTCTGTCTGGTGTTAATCCTGGTGTTAATCCCTGCTTATCTGGGTGTTGATTGCTGGCAAGGTGGTGTTCTGGTCTTTTTGTTTCCTTTTTATTATCTCTTTTGAAAGGTGTGTATAAATCTAATGTGTGTATAGTGTTTTGGGCTCATTTGCTTAATTGGGTTCTCTTTATCTGGTTTTAGGACTTGTGTGGAGAATAAATTGTGTTTTAGGTCATATTTATGCAGAAATATTGAAAATTCAAAAGGGTTCCCAAACTTTTAGGCACCCCTATATTTGATTAAATGCAAGGCAGCTTCTTTCCTACAGAAAAAAGCTGTATACTTGTTTTCTACAGACAGGATGAGAAAGCTGTGGCCTTTCAGGTATTGTTAACCATAACTTCTAAGAACCTGGCACGGACACTGATATGAGGGCTCATATTTGTAGTTCAGCAATATCTTAAGGGCCACCAGTTCCACAAATGTGACCTAGAGAAATACACTATAAGCTTCTATGTCTCTTCTTGACAAAGTCTGCCTGCTTCTCCATTTAGCACTTATTCTTTTGAAAAATGGTTCCTTTATATGACATGCAGCCATACTTTCAATATGTTCCCCAGACTATTTAAACATGAAGCTTTGGACATATGGAAATATTTTTATATAATTCTTCCAAATACTGGACAGCAGCAGAGAATCTCAACTGAAAGCTATCAATAAATAATGTTTAGTGAATGTACGCTGGTCTTTTACTTTGTAAAATTCATCCAGTTTTTACTTCATGCTTATGTGTAATTAATTGTGTCATTAAGTAGCATTGATTTTAAACAGCATATAGACCTGCACACAGTACGAATGGATATGACTATAACACAGAGCTATAAGCAGAAGAATAGTTGAGGCACCCATATACATACAATAAAATACCTTAGTATACTTATAAGACACATTTGATGATCTCCGACAGCAGTTCACTATCTTCTGCTTCACAGTTTCTCTACAAAATAAAAAGTTAATATTATACCCTTTATATTCCAAGATGACTTATCTACAAGTTTGGGTAACTTCGCAATGCGACAAGCCGTATCAAGTTGTAAATGAAACCTGGAGGGTGGGGTAGCGCACTGGAAAAGAGAGGAAGCCAGCACACAGGGCAAGGAACAGCCCTGCAGGTATAGTTGGCTTTGAAGAGGGCCCTGATAGCCAAGTAGAGGCAGGAGGCGGTTTGGTCACAGTGCAGAACAAAAGTGGGAATGGGATGATACTAGTAGCAAAGCTTTGACATCGATAGCAATTTCCAAAGATGCCTCTGGACATTGGCTCCCTCAAAAACAGCTGTGCTTGATAAGAAAGTACCTCCAGGAACAGGCCTGCTCTAATATCAGAATATTGGCCACTACTGTTTGTTGTGTGCTGCTACTGCAAGAATGCTAATCTGTTTAAAGAAGAAACGGTTCCAGCACAGTTTTATGGGTTTTGGACACGGTGTTCTCAATGGATGATACTCCAAGTCTTCTGACTTTAAAAGGTTTCCAAAATGTCATTTTGGGAACGCGTGACAAAAGCAAAAACCCTGTGCATACTTTCTCTCCTACCTTCTTTCTTTTTTGTAAAGTAACAGGATCACAAGACATGCTGTAAGAATCACAAGGAGTAAACTCAATAGTGCACCAACTGCTTGGCTTCTTCCTGAAAGGCCTTTAGGAAAATCTTGCACGTACTTTCCATCATTTGTTGTTTCAGAGCTTCTGCAAATGATTAAAGAAATGGGAGTTTAGATCCAAAAGGTATCATCTGCCCTGCAAAAGCAGCCCTCCAAATATTGCTAATTCCCTCTATTCTGTTGTAGCCCTTTCTGCCCACTAGAATGGGTCTCCTTGAGCTTTTGAAAGATTTGGTGCAGAGAAGAGGAGACAGCAGCGAGGAGGAGACAAGTCAGCCCCACTTTGAGTACACATTTCTATTGTATTTCTTTGGACTCAGTTCATAAATGGTACTTGCAAAACTTTAACTAATTTGATTCAATGACATCAAATAAGCTTTGCAAAATTACCCTGTTCTGAAACTTGTGATGAAGGCTGTATTTGGAAATGTTTAACAACCATGTTCAAATACATCCCTAAAAATGGGATGAGTTATAGTTATAAATAAGTGCTTTAAAAAAAATTAATCTTCCCATTTTAGAGCAGATGAACCAACTTCCAACCAGACAAGCTAATTTTTCCAGCACTGTTGCAATGCTCCAGGTCCAAGAAGATGCTAACGTTGTGCTATAAACAAAATTTTGAGTGGTAACTGTTTCAATTCATGTTATGTATGTTATATTCTACTTTATTCTTCATGATGTTCACATTTGGGTCAAACCACTGGAAAATGGAACATCCATTAGATCAATCCTTCAGGTTAAGTAACAGAAAATATGAACTGCTGAACTCACCAATGGACTGGGTGAGGATGAATAAACTGAAATTCAGTTCAGGTAATATTGTAGTTTGGGGAAGGAGATTCAACCTGTTTTCATGAGGTTACATTTCTCTCATTAGTTTTGTAGCTGAAGGTAATCCCTGATCTACACTAAACTTGTCCAGAAGCTGTAGCTTGAAGTAAACTTCTCAACAACTTTAGTGTAGGTCAGGGATTACATTCAGCTACAAATCTTTAGTCTAGCAAAGATGATTCATGTTCTACTCACATCCCACAAACATTTTTGTCTTTTTTTTTTTTGGAAGTAACTTTTGGTACTTTAAAACTACCTCTCTCTCTCTCTCTCTCTCTCTCTCATGCACACACACATACACTTCGGAGGAAGAAAGGAATTTCCAGGATTAGTTCCAGTTAGCACTGACAATCCTAGGTTGAGACAATATGTGCCGCATAGAACTTTTGTCATCTATTTATTCATTCGGATTTAGAGACTGCCAGACTCCAGAATGACTCTGGGCAGCTTATAATTAAAAAACAGAAAAATATGAGTGGAAAATGGAGGAAATGCTACTCTTCTTTGGAAGATGGCATCTTAAATTCAGGATCATCTTCATTTTGGGTAAATATAGTATACAGTGGGGTAAAAAAGTATTTAGTCAGCCACCAATTGTGCAAGTTCTCCCACTTAAAAAGATGAGAGAGGCCTGTAATTTTCATCATAGGTACACCTCAACTATGAGAGACAAAATGGGGAAGAAAATCCAGAAAATCACATTGTCTGATTTTTAAAGAACTCCCACTTAAAAAGATGAGAGAGGCCTGTAATTTTCATCATAGGTACACCTCAACTATGAGAGACAAAATGGGGAAGAAAATCCAGAAAATCACATTGTCTGATTTTTAAAGAACTCCCACTTAAAAAGATGAGAGAGGCCTGTAATTTTCATCATAGGTACACCTCAACTATGAGAGACAAAATGGGGAAGAAAATCCAGAAAATCACATTGTCTGATTTTTAAAGAACTCCCACTTAAAAAGATGAGAGAGGCCTGTAATTTTCATCATAGGTACACCTCAACTATGAGAGACAAAATGGGGAAGAAAATCCAGAAAATCACATTGTCTGATTTTTAAAGAACTCCCACTTAAAAAGATGAGAGAGGCCTGTAATTTTCATCATAGGTACACCTCAACTATGAGAGACAAAATGGGGAAGAAAATCCAGAAAATCACATTGTCTGATTTTTAAAGAACTCCCACTTAAAAAGATGAGAGAGGCCTGTAATTTTCATCATAGGTACACCTCAACTATGAGAGACAAAATGGGGAAGAAAATCCAGAAAATCACATTGTCTGATTTTTAAAGAACTCCCACTTAAAAAGATGAGAGAGGCCTGTAATTTTCATCATAGGTACACCTCAACTATGAGAGACAAAATGGGGAAGAAAATCCAGAAAATCACATTGTCTGATTTTTAAAGAACTCCCACTTAAAAAGATGAGAGAGGCCTGTAATTTTCATCATAGGTACACCTCAACTATGAGAGACAAAATGGGGAAGAAAATCCAGAAAATCACATTGTCTGATTTTTAAAGAACTCCCACTTAAAAAGATGAGAGAGGCCTGTAATTTTCATCATAGGTACACCTCAACTATGAGAGACAAAATGGGGAAGAAAATCCAGAAAATCACATTGTCTGATTTTTAAAGAACTCCCACTTAAAAAGATGAGAGAGGCCTGTAATTTTCATCATAGGTACACCTCAACTATGAGAGACAAAATGGGGAAGAAAATCCAGAAAATCACATTGTCTGATTTTTAAAGAAACATTGTCTGATTTTTAAAGAAAAGTGGGAGAACTTGCACAATTGGTGGCTGACTAAATACTTTTTTGCCCCACTGTATATAGCCTCTACTGATTAACAAGCCTTCTGCTATTCTGTAGGGTAAGAATTAACAAGAATTATTCTCATGAGATTTACTTACACCAACTGGCAGACTGCTGAGGTGTACCAGGTGAATAAGTACTGGCAATCCATCGACTCATGAAGAAATTGTGGGAGGCCTTCTTCAGCCTCCTTATCACAGTGGAAGAAAATAGTTGAGGAGGCAGACTTTTTGGAATCTCTGCCACATTTGGAGTCAGAGAAGAACACAAGATCCAAAACATCATCTGCAAAGGAAGAAAAGATTGAAATTTTTTCACAACCAATTGTTGATTGTATTGTCGAAGGCTTTCACGGCCGGAATACGATGGCTGGTGTGGGTCTTCCGGGCTGGGTGGCCGTGTTCT